ATCAAATCAATTTGAGTGCGATTTAAACCTGGATGATTGTAACCACTCTAAGTTCGTCTGCCTTGGGAAAGCTAGCGTGTCTCCGACATAGTGATAACACTCGTTGCCTTCTTTAGTGCAGCTCAACCAGGTCTCGTCCCATTCGTCGGTATTTGTGATATCATAAATCCTGGAAAATATGCGTTGTAGTCCAAACGAGTCGTTCGTTGTAGTTTTTGAAAAGTGATTTCTGTTAAATAAAATATCTCCTTGTGAAGTGGACTTCAAGCTTTGTAACTTCGCAGATCTTTTTTATGCTCAAACAGCAACATTACAGACTAACTAAAGTTGAAAAAGTGAAAAAGCATAATATGACCCCTTTAAGAATTCATGTAATGGTAGGTACTCGACAGAAAGAAAATGATGGTAACCCCACACCAGGAAAGTTAACTACATTGTCCTTTATCCATTGCCAGCAAGTGTCTCCACCTTTATAGTGTGACGCAGTCGTATTATAATTAAATCAATTCTCTTCTCAGCTTAGTACTGTCAAGCGAAAGCCAATGACCACATTTACATACACCAAGGCCCATTTACTGGTTGAGCCAGGTGTGTCCTGCTCCTGGAGGGCCAACGTCTTGTAGTGTTTAGCTTTAACCTGCCCCAACACACTTGCCTGCAAGATTCCAGTAATCCCGAAGACCTTTATTAGCTGTTTCAGGTGTGTTTAATTATGACTGGAGCTAAACTCTGCAGCATACTGGCCCTCCAGGCTCCAGTTTCTCAGATAGCTTGACCTTCCACAACTTATTTAGTCTTCTAGTACCAATTATCTTAATTTGGATATGCACAGATATAAATGAATATACTGTTATGGCGACTACACACTAAAGTATTTTTCCAACAGGCAACTATAACTTTGATCAATGGGAATTTCAGACAATGGTTCAAATCAAATGTTTTATTAGAGTATGCAAGATCATTGCAGTGGATATATCTTCAAAATTCTGATTAATAGATTTCTAGTAATCAGAATATTACCTTAAAAGCCTCCTATACTCTCTTTCTGATATAGTTTGTTCTTTGCTCAAGGGTAAACAGAAGTTTGAAATAGCTGAGCAATAGTATACTGTTTGTGAACATTCCAAAGCAGGAACAGGCGAGCATTTAACTATGTGCTGCAAGCTATCCTTTCAGAAACACAACTAACACACAAAAATAATGACAGTGATGAGAAAAGCGATGTGGACATAGAGATGTGGACATGTTTGACCCAATATGTATTTTGGCACTCCAGTTCATGTACCTGGCCTTTACTGTCTGACCGCAACAGACTGCGTGAAGAAATGATCCTGAAAAGATTCCCCATGTCAAACAAGGAGTCCCAAAGCACACCTACCTATGAAGTAATCTTCATTGACCAACGGCAGTTTGAACTTGTCAAAATGACATCCCACTTGTTCATTCTTCGATTTCGCTTAAAGTATAGCATAGTTCTTTATCAGACATTAAGCATTCATTCACATGTACATGCTGTGCCTTATCTTAAACAAGCCCCAGTATACCAAATCTGACAAATAATTCAAAATAATTCTTCACTCAGGAAGCAGCGTTTTTTGACATTTCTGGCTACTTTTCAAAGCCAACCCAGCAGATTTAGGTGCTAATTTACAGAGCTTTTCCATTGTACAGAGGCAGACATTCCACTGGCCTTTCACAAGCACCTCTTACATTCTGTGGAAAACGGTTTGTGAATGAAGCCATCTATGGCAAATGACGACAAACACTGTTGTACTAGAAAGAAAAAAAATCTCAGCAGAAGACATGCAGCTTAAACCAAGGCACTGATGACAAAATAAAACTGTAACATGCTTGAACCTGCTGATACCAAGGCAACAGTTTCACGGAAAACTGGAAACCAAATGTAACTGAAATCAGTTTGAGAGGCCTGACATATTTTTGCAATTCTGTTTTGTGCAGCTTGCAGTGAGAAATAATACAGAGCAGCTTTAACCATATATACACCACTCCTTTGAATAAGAAGAAGCCCTACAATCATAAAATGAAATATAATAACATCTATAAGGGTCTTGATATGTCATGACAAATTAGCTGGGAATAATGACCCCCACAGTGGTGACCTTATAGACGGCCACTAACCTGTGTCTAAAGTGAGTTTCAGTGCATTATGGTCCACTGGGAGTGAACTGTACATGTCAATGCATGAGTGTAGTGTACTGCTGAGGGACTGAACGCTGAGATGGTGATGCTGATGATGGTTGCTATTTTCCGTATGTTTACCATCATTTCGGCTCTGTTGGGGAGGACAAACATGGCTCAGACTGGAAAAGGCCATAGAGCAAGGGCCTCCCGAGACCGTACACGCCCTCTCACGCACACATGGGCACAAACATACACACGGTGGTGCGGCAAAGATGGGGAAATAGAAAAGAAAAAAAGGAAGGGAGGGTAAGACACAGGGTGACTGGAAGGAGAGGCGAGAGAGAGGGCCTGCAGACACAACACAGCTCAGAGTTGATTGGGAGTGACAGGCTGCTGATTAGTCAACTCGCAGCCTACACACACGCACAAATAAGAGCAGTGAAATGAACGCTCGCACAAGAGCGGCCTATTCTTACATGCACTTTTACATGTAACGTTTTGTGGAGACATTTTCATGCACTGATAAACAAAAAAACATCCTTTCTCCGAACAAATCAGAGATATGGGGGTTTATGATCTTCTTGAGAGTGTGTATTTATGTACGTGTCTTACTTTGAGAAGATAGATGGGAATGTTGCTAAAATCCACAGGGAGTTTGAGAAGGAATCGAGCAGAAAACTCCCCCGTCTAGAAGGAAAAAAAAACACACCATCAAACAGTGAACACACACGCACACACATTCTGTAACATTCCTCACACAGTAACCTACTTGTTAAAGGAATAATTCTGTCATTGTTTCTCATCCTCATGTTGTACCAAACCCACCTGACTTTATTTCTGCCATGGAACACAAAAGTTCAGCAATTCTGAAGAATCTCCCTGATCGCTCTTTTCCATCAAATTAAAATGAAATGGGACAGAGGCTTTCAAGCTTAATAAAAGCAGCAAAAGGCACATTAAATACACTGTTAGTCTGTCAGTCCTGCAATGGACCAGCAATGTGTCTGAGATCATAGGCTCCAGCGTCTGTGAAATCCTACACAGGACAAGCAGTTTGGAAAATGGATCGATGGATGGAAGACATACAACAGACTTTCCTATTACGAATATATATTACAAAGTCAGAATCATCACAGATGAATCAGTCAAAAGTAGTTCCCAACAATTCAAATAAAAACACAAAGTCACCCAATAGCCTACAGACTATTCATAAAGCTTGTAGGCTACATTGTGAATTGTAAGCTTATTTAGAGCATTGGTAATCTGGATTTGGTAATCTGAAAAGATCTGGATCAAGGTGATCCAATCCAATCTTGCTACGAAAACCTTGCACAAAAGTAAAATGGATTGTTTGATTCAGGATAGAAAAAAAATGGGATTGCCAAATCTGGATATTCGGATTCAGATTCAACTTTTTGATCAACTGGGAGTCATAAGGTTCAAAACTCAAGTCATTATTCACTGATAATCTGCAACTCCACCACCAGCTGTTAAAGGCAACTACCGGATCAGTAAGTGAGAAGAACCAAATTAGTTCTATTTGTGAAAGAATAACTTACATTTACATTTAATAAAAAAAACAAAAAAAACAAATCTGAGTCACACAATGTACTTCACAGCTGAAAATGATTTTGTTTCATAAATGATGAACTTTCAACTGTTAATAACTAAATTGAATCAACACTGAACTAAACTGAGCTGAAAAATAACACTATTGTATTTTGCAGAGCTGCTTTACTGCTAAAATTGAATTTGTTTAATAATTTATTAATTTTGTAACGATAACTGTAATTTTCCAGTGTATTACTATGAAGCTTTTTTGAAATAATCTGCATTGTATAAGGTGCTTTATAAATAAATGTAACATGACTTGACTGCTGTCATTGCAAATGATTCATTTACAAATCAGAAATCACTACTTCTGTGGCAACGAGACCTAGGGTGGATATCATGTTTTTCAGTGAATCAAGGCTTAAATTATTCTGTTTGTCACACAAATCCTTTAACGATATTTCTGTTAAAGGAACGACATTAAAGGAACTCATATTTTTAACATTGTATTGTATGTCCCTTTCGAGGTGGTGTGCGTATTTAGGGATGGTTGGGTACCCTCAATGTACTGATGCATTTGCCATGCCACTACTGTCAAGGTATCATTTTGATTCAATTTAAAATGGAAGTGAAGTACATATTTAGCAACACATGTGACAGTGCAATGCTGTGCTCCCAGAGTGTTCACTTCAAATTCTCTTCAAATGTCCTCTAAAGTAGGCCATGGTCATATTCACTTTTAAGTATAATTCGCTGTATGACTCCTTGTTTACATTCATATCATATACATAACTTGGGTTACATCATTTTAAGATTACTCAAACATTTCCTAATCACAGTCTGTTATCCCACAGACCACAGTTCACCACATCCCTTTAAAGATCGAAGCCCATGAAGCAACATACTCACGCCCACAGCCCAACACACTACACTCTTCCCAAAAACACAACCATATTACGGAACCCCCTGTGTGCCCATTTGTGAGGGAGTGTTTGTTCGTTTTTGACCGGTTGTGCAATTCGATTTGTACTTTATCGAGAACCCACTGGCCTGTGTGTGGGCATTGTTAATCCTTTTGATCTTTTATTTTTTTTTTAAATCACAAAAATCTAACCTTTCATTGGATAATAAGAATTTAAAATGGGGGGAAATATCATTATGAAATAAATGTTTTTCTCTAATTCACATTGGCCACAATTAACGGCACCCTTTTATTCAATACTTTTTGAAACCTCCATTTGCCAGTTTAACAGCTCTAAATTTTCTCCTATAATGCCTGATGAGGTTAGAGAACACCTGACAAGAGATCAGAGACAATTCCTTCATCCAGAATCACTCCAGACCCTTTAGATTCCCAGCTCCATGTTGGTGCTTCTTCTCTTCAGTTCACCCCACTCATTTTCTATAGGGTTCAGGTTAGAGGACTGGAATGGCCATAGCAGAAGCTTAGTTTTGTGCTCAGTGACCCATTTTTGTGTTGTTTTTGAGGTTTGTGTTTGGATTATAGTACGGTTGGAAGATCCAAACATGGTCCATTATAAGATTTCTATACAGAGTCAATCACTTATTGATTTTTTATCTGTTGGTATTTGATAGAATCCATGATGCCATGCATCTGAACAAGATGTCCAGGACCTCCAGCAGAAATATAGGCCCACAACATCAAAAATACAGCAGTATATTTCATTGTACACATGGGGTACTTTTTATCCCTGTGTTCACCAAACCCATCTTGAGTGTTTGCTGCTAAAAAGCTAATTTTTTTAGTTTCATCTGACCATAGAAGCCAGTCCCATTTGAAGTTCCAGTCGTGTCTGATAACTGAATATGCTGGAGTTTGTTTTTGGATGAGCTAGGAGAATTTTTCTTGAAACCCTCCCAAACAACATGTGGTGAAGTAGGTGCTGTTTGACAAATTTTTTTAAAGATTTTCTGACCCCGAGACTCAACTATTTTCTGCAATTCTCCAGCTGTGGTCCTTGGAGAGTCTTTAGCCACTCAAACTCTCCTTCTAATGTTTTTCTCTAATACACATTGGCACATTGGTTTTTTATATGAGAAAAACATTTATTTCATAATGATATTTCCCCCCATTTTAAATTCTTATTATCCAATGAAAGGTTAGATTTTTGTGAATTTTTTTTATAAAAGATCAAAAGGATTAACAATGCAGATAAATTTTCACAGCCTTCTTTGATCATATTTACCAAGGGTGCCGATATTTTTGGCCATGACTGTACATAAAGTTGTTGGTTCAAACCCCAAATGGGATGAACCATCAGTAGTTACCAATGTGCAGTTACCGTGAATAAAACACCTAATTTCAAGTTGTTCCAGGAATTATGTCTCTGTAACTCCCATTAGCACTGTGTAAAAGTGTCAGTTAAATAACAAATCAGTACTGGTGATTAGAGAATTACAAAGGTGGACTTACCACTTCAGTCAATTAGTTCATGAAATTTCATTAAGAGAAGGTCAGTTTACTGGAGTTAAGTGATCCAGTGCTCCAAATATATGCTTTAGTAAAAGATGGCGGTGTGATGTAAATAACCATCTAAAGTCTATTTTTTTTTATAATTTAGTGAATTGAATACTTTATTGTATCCATCCAGGATGACTCCCTGCTTTTGTTCTGAGACACAGGGATAGACTCCAGCATCCCCTTGACCCTACATAGGACAAGTGGTTTGGAGAATGGATGCATGCATAAATCGATAAGTGTTTATCAAAATCTCACTGAATGGAAACATTTGACTGTTATGTTAATGGAAGTATAAGGTGAAGCAGCACTGGTACCCAGCTGTTCTTGAGGCCAGCGTAGATCTCCATACTGCGCCCATAGTTGGGGTCTTCCAGCAGGCTGTCATATTCGAAGAGCAGGCGGGAGCTGTCACGAAGCCGCTGGCACTGGTACTGATGGTACTGCTGCAACAGCTCTTTCACCAGCTGCAGGAGACACTCCGGTTTACCCGCATCCCATGACACCAAGTGCTGCCGGAGGAGAGAGAGAGAGAGAGAGAGAAAGAGAGTGGGAGTCAGCATTTTATCACAAAAAAATAAGAAAAAAAGTCAATTGGGAAAACAGAAACATCTAGTACTTTTTAGCCCAGTTTTTTTTTATTTCGTGAAGCAAAAATATTACAAAATAAATAAATAAAAAACACCTATATTGCATGAAAATTAATAGCTTGAAAGGTTAAAGTTACCATGAAAATCCATTCAGAACTTTTTATTTCTGTAACATAATATACATTTCAGAGTCTCATTAAGGCTATTTAAAAGAAAAATGTATGGTAGGGTAATTGTTTTTATCCATCAGGAATTGATTGTAAAGAAGTGGTCATTCAATATCTGAATGGACCTAAACTTGAATGCAAACATAAAACACTGTCAGCACCCATTGGTTGAAACTTAAGTGGCCTTGGTAACATCAGTTGAATAGGAAAGTCATTTCAGAGGAACAGGAATGTGTATTACGAATGCAAATATGGTCAATTTGAATTCATGATGACTTTAAAGGTAAAGTATGAGTTTTCTGTGCCACAAAACAGAAATAAAGACTGTTTTATAATGACTTTTTTGAAACAAAGAGGTTTACTAAAAATTCCCCATCTGCCATGGTTCAAAGTAATAGCCCTGCCCCATCCCATGTCATTGGTTGAGACCACTTGATGGCAGGGCCGTCAAAAAAAAAACAAAAAAAACAAAGTTAGGTGGCATTTCATTTTTTTTTTTATAAAAGACTTAGGAAACTTTTTTGTTGTTGTTGTTGTTTTAATAATGATGTACACAGATAAATAATTTATAATAAACATTGTAAAATTCCATAAAAAACAAGAACTGTCAGTTTTGATTTCATGGCGACTTCAAACAAGCAGTATTCAAACTTTTGAGGGAAATAACCTGAATACATGTGCCATGCTTTTGGCCTATAACAATAAAAAGTCTCAGAGTACAACATGTTGCTAGAACCTTAAACAAGCTTTTTGAATCATCAGGTTATCAAAAATCCTCTTTGAATTATTAATTTTGAGCCAGATATGATGCAAGAGTGTTTCATATGGAACACACATTAAATACAGAGCTTAGACTGCATAAAAACTTCAGAGACTTTTAGAGATAAGGATAAAACAAAAGGACTGATGCAATTAAAGGCAGGTGGCAGTTTCTAAAGTGCTGAACTGGGGCCTTATCACCCTTTATTGTCAAAATGTCAACTTGATGTGGTGGTTTCCGCGCCTTTGCACTCCCCCTCTCAACCATCTTGAGGCAAATGGTAACACCACAGGATATCCTGCACCGGCGGGGACACTTTCATCCCCTAACTCTACATATCCCAAGTCTAGAAGCCAAAAGACGATAAATTCCAGCTCCATTTCTTGCTAAGGCAATGTGCCACAAAGCATGGGAAATTAAGCCACTGAAAAAGAGGAAACACTGTTCTCGCACAGTTCTCAGATAAGACAGTACAAGACCTTGAGTCTGTGCCATATGTTTAATGCATGCAGGGAACAATGGTTTGGTAAGAAAGCTAGATTTTTGAAAAGGTTCAGACGGCAACCGAGCACAGGCTATTTCCAGTCTCTCTTACTGCAAACACACTGCTATTAGGGAAAGAAGTGAGTTGAGTGGGTGTATGCCCATCACAGAGTTTGCACTGGCGTGTTCTTGCGGGCTGCGTGAGCGGGAAAAGGCCTGCATGCCAACACGGTCTACTTGCCTTTCCTCCTCTCCTCCTACAGGCTGACCTCATTTGCATAGGTGATCCCAATTTGCATGAGTTTCCCTGACTGGAGCAGTGCACAGGTATGCAAATTCAGAGCGAGGGGGCAAAAACCAAATTGCCACCTTTTCACGAAGTGTTCCACCATTCTTTTCACTGGCCTAATTCTACCCAACAGCCAGTTCTGTCTCCGAGGCCCAATTGCTCGTTGATGCGTGATACGTACGCAAGTTGAAATTAAATTTTAGTGACACTGACTGAAAATAAAATGCAGAATCTACATTTTTGCAAGCAAGTAAATAAACATTACATGTATCGCACTTAAAGAACATCTCTGGCTCTCGGCTCCTTGTCAAGGGTTAAGAATAAGACAAACAAATAAGTATTCCTGTCATTGCAAGGCACAAACAAACACAGGCTGTGTTACAATGAGTTTGTCACACGCTGTCTTGGATTTTTAAATGATGGCAATGCAATTTCAGCTTGATTTTCATCGCTCCCATGAATCATTCCATCTACAAGCCTGATTGAGTCACATACGAGCAGAAGAGAAGAGAGGGGACAGAGCACGCCGTCTGTCCACTGAGGCACACATTACACAACTTATTAACAGCACAGCCCACAGCATACAGCTGAGCTTGTTACATTTCTTGGATCAAATCGAAGCGTCTTTTTGTAGTTGATGGAAAAGAGGGGAAAAATGGAAAAGGAAAGATAAGAGATGAGCTCTTCACCCGTGACCGGGAATGATGATCAGGGAAAGAGTGTTTGCAGGGCAATCAGTTCAGGAACCTAAATATTTAAATATGTTTTTTTTTTCTTTTTTCAAAACAGCTAAATGTAATGGTAAAATAGTTGGAGCCACAGTAGTTAGCACACATGCTCTGATACCCTGGTTCTCAAAAAGGCAACATCAGCTTGAATCCAGCTCACGATATTCCTAATTCCTGTTCCTTTAGTTATTTTCTGTCCTTGTTGCACAGCCCTATAAAACTAGCTAACTAACTAACTAACTAAAACTAGCCAACTAAAATAAAATAAAATAAAATATCCAATCATTACAAAATAAAAAAAAATACTTTCCAAAAATTCCTTTTCTGCTGGCGTCACCTATGAATAACGTTAATCAACCAATGGGCTATTTAGCTAATATTCATCTATGTAGGTTAATTCTGGTATAGGATGCCTACATTTGTTAGGGTGCTTTCACACTAGCACTTTTGGTGCGCACCCGGGTTCGATTGATGTTAGTGTTCGGTTCGTTTGGATGATGTGAACGCTGTCTTCCGAACTCGGGTGCGCGCACGCGCGAACCGTACCCGAGTCCGCTTACAAGGGTACGGTTCATGTGAACTCCGGTACGGTTCACAGCTGATGTGAACGCAATTGTACCAAATCGTGGAATTGAACCGCTATTAATGACGTATTATTTGATAAAAATGTGTGTTTGTGTGTGTGTTTCACCAAAGACTATAGAATACCCAAGACAAGTTGTGTGTTTGTGTGTGTGCTTCACTCACTTTCCTGACGAGCGTTCTTTAGAGCATTTGCAGTACATTCGTAAGACAGACGTAAGTGCTCTAAATTCGTATGTACTGAAGCTTTCTAAACAAAACAAAAGATTCAAAAACGTAAATATATCAAAGTGCAGAGAGCAATGTTATGCATTTGCCGCCTTCTCCTGCGCTGTCGTTACTAAGCAACGGGGTAAACAGCTGCTGGCTTGATGATGCAAACGAACCACGGTTCGGACCCAAATAAAATAATATGAACGCAGTCCAGCGGGGGCAGGGGAAGGGGGGAGCAATCCCCAGGCCAGCAAGCGAACCAAGTGTGAAAGCACCCTTAAACTAATCCAAATTTCAATGAATACCATTCAGTAGGCTATATTCAATTACAAAATTCATGTCACTGATACAAATTCTGTTTCATGTTGACTTTAAGAAACACTTCTCAATGTTTTACTGGTTAAGAATTGCAACACCCTAAAAACTGTTCCACTGTTACAGAATTTCTAATTCTTTACAGGATCGGGGGTCATGAGAAAGTCAACGTTTCTACACACGAGGAGTGGTTTTCTGGATAATGTCTTAAGTCTTTACTTTAAAAGTGAGATGACATCATTGCCCAGCATCACTCCCCTTGGTAGGGTGTCTGTGGAGGTTTGGCCAGGACCGGTTCCAGAATTAAATCAACATATTTTATGTTCCGTCCATTGCCAATCACTGCTATTTCGAGAGTGAATCCCGCATAAATAGGGGAGAGCGGGGCACAGTGTAACACTTTTTGACTTTCTCAGTTTGTGTAAATTCACATGGGGTTCATAATATAATTTTTTTATCCACAGTAATTTTACACTTGTCTAGTACAAATACGTCGCTTTGTTTCATAATTACACTGTATACATTTTTCTTTATTTATCCTCAAAAAATGGAAGTGAAATGTGACAACATGTCCCGTATGTGGGGTACATTGTAACATCTGAGGGGCACGTTGTAACATGACCATATGACAACTTAAAATATTATCTAATCTAATGAAAAAAATATACAAGACAAACTAAAATATTTTGTCAATAAAATTAAATTATTAAAGCTGCAGTCCGTAACTTTTTTTTGGTTAAAAATTATCAGAAATCAATATTTGAGCAAGTACATAACCAGTCAGTGTTCGAAACTATCGCCTTACTTTAGCCCGTTTCACAATGGTTATCTTATAACAATGTTTTCTAATTTGAGTGGTACGGGTAGGTTTTCGCGGGAAATTCGAGCATGCTGCTGCATCATTACGTCACGTCTGTAAACATAAAGAAGTTGTCCCGGCTACTAGGCTATC